GGTCGTAGTCGTCGTTGCCGCGGCTTCTCGGAGCCGCCATCGGTCGAGCGGCGAGCGTGGAGCTCCTGCTCCTGCGCCTTTTTTCTGCACTGCCTTCTCCTCCTCCCTCCCTCCCTCTCTCCCTCTCCTCCTCCTCCTCCTCCTCCCTCTCCTCCTCCTCCTCCTCCTCCTCCTCCTCCTCCTCCTCCTCCTCCTCCTCCTCCTCCTCCTCCTCCTCCTAGTCGGCGCGAGGGGCTTAGGATTTTGCTTCCGACCTACCCACTCGCACAAACTGACTGCCGACAGATCCAGGGCCACGAAAACTTCCCGCGGCCGTGGGGGAGGGGGCTTGGGATTCGTTCTGGAACAGACGTCCACGGGGGAGAGAACCACAGGCAGCACATTCCGATGTTGTACTTCCTTTTACACTCGTTCTCTTCTTGATCCGGGGATGGCCGCAGCGGCTGCCGAATACTGCGGTCGCATTGGACGTCCAGGAGCTCCTCCAGGATCCGGCACAGAGGGCACGCGACTCAGACGGCAGATGAGAAATATACACGCGGAGAAAGTGTCCTTTCAGATCAAGTACTTGAAAACAGCCGCTGAATGACATTGCAGATGGACCTACTTGATCGTGAACAGGGCACGACTACTGATAATATACATATCCCCGTGCACGAGGCCCGGGGGCCCGGGACCGCGACCTCGACGGGGTACCGGGCCTCTGGGGCGCCCCCGGGACGGCTCCCGAGGGCGCTGGACGCCCCGGTACAGATCAAGAGGGCGCACGAGCCTCGAAATGTAGTTGAAGACGCCGACGATGGCTCGAAGAGGGCTCCTGGGAGCCCCCGAGACAGCCCAAGAGGGCCCCAAGAGCCCTCCCAAGAGGGCCCCAAGATGCAAAACTGGCCCCGTTCCCTCCGGAAAACGTACATTTTTCAGGGATTCGCCTCTTGACCTTCCAGGGGAACGAAGACGGCCCGAGAGGTCGCCAGGATCGCCCCAAGACAGCCCAAGAGGATTCCAAGACAGCCCAACAGGGCCCCTGGCTAGCCCAAGAGGTCCCCAAGACGGCCCAAGAGGTCCCCAAGACGGCCCCAGGCAGGGGCCCAGAGAGGATACCCTACGAACATTTCAAGCCCTCCGCCCCCAGAGGTCCCAAGGAGGCCCCAAGAGGCCCCCAAAACGCCCCCCAAAAACCTTCAAGAAGCTCCCTAGAGGCCCCCCAACAGCCCCCTGACCAGACGCCCTCAGGTACTTTTCCCGCTCCCGAAGCTTCTGGACCACTCTTCGCTTCCTGAGGCCCAAAACGGAGCCTGGGACCGTCAAACATTACGACGAAACACCGGGCCCATGGAAGGTCTTCGGACTTCTGGCCCACTCCAGGGACCCCGCGTTGAACAAGTCACGCTAGCGAATCTCTTGGACAGGATGACATACCAGTCCCGTGGGCTGCGTCGAACTTCCAGGACCCGACGTGTACGTAGCGACAAAAGCACAGCGTCGGTCCACAAAACGGCCCACGAGTCCCCCAAGAGGATTCCCAAGAGCGCCTCCAGAAGGAAAAATGACCCCATTTCCGTTGGAAAGCGTACATTTCTATGATATTCGCCGCTTCGGCGTCGACCGCCTCGAAGACGGCCCCAGGAGCCGACCAGGCCAAAGAGAGTATCAAGAGGCCTCCAAGACGGCTCAAGAGGGGCCCTCGGCTGTCCAGGGGGCCCCCAAGACGGTCCCAGAGGGTCTCGGGAAAGCTTCCCCACACAGCCCCGAGGGCTACCCCAGTTGCCTTTTTCAGCCATCCGCCCCAAAAAGCACCCCAGAGACCCCAAGAAACCTCCAAGAACCCCCGACAAAAAACCTAAGCGGGCCCCACGTGGCCGCCAGGAAGCCCCAAGAGGCTCCCAAGAGCCCTCTTCCCAGACGCCCTGAGGTACTCTAGCCGATCCCGATGCTTCCGGAAACTCTCGGCATCCTGACACCCCCCACGGGCCCCGGGACCGTCAAACATTTAGGACGAAACTCCGGGTCTATGGGAGTTGTCCGGACTTCGGGGCCACTCCAGGGACCCCGCATCGAACAAGTCTCGGTATCGGAACTCTTGGTCAGGACGACAAGCTGGTCCCGTGGAAGGGGCCAGACTTCCAGGAGCCGACGTATAGCAAAAAAACGACGTCGGATGATCGGGCATCCCTCCCTCCCTCCTTCTCTCCCCTCCCCCCAGACCTCTCCCGTCGTGATAAAAAACGACGAGAGGTTCTCGGCCGTTTTCGGCTTCCAGGGGGCCTTCAACGGGCCCCGGGACCGTCAAAGGCGACTCGGGACGAAAACCGGTCCCCCGGAAGGTGTCCACATCTTCAGATACCTCTGTTGCGAAACAATCACGACGTCGTGGGTCTGGGGTTCTCCAATCCTGCTGGTCCCCAGACATCCTTCCACATGATTGTTCCCAACCATCCTGTGGTGTTGGGTCCTCGTTTTGAAGAGACAGTGCCCCGCGTCCCTCCTCCTCCTCCTCCTC